CACTAGCTACCACCCTTCACAACATTTTCTGTCCATGACGCTCTTTTCACAGTCGATCCCAAAGGAAACGAACCATGTGCTAGCTATCGCTCTAGATCATTGTGTGAAGGCAGCTCTTTTTGACAGAAATATATTTGTTCCAAGGTATGCAAGAACACGCCATCAATTAAAGACAATCAACATCTCACCCGCTTTCAGAAGAGTCAGAACTTCATTTATGACTTAGTGGTGAAATATATGCAAAAATGCAAGGCATGCCTAATGCAAATAATACCCTATATGCATACACGCAATGCAAATATAATATATATACTAATATACAATACAATATAATATAATGGCATGCAAGCAATCAGAGAATGCATATCCCTAAGGATTTCCTTAGAGAGATAAATCTTTGAGCATCAAGGTTATGTGCTGGAACATATTTATGAACAATTAATCCATCATCAACCAAATTTCTAGTAAAGTGGCATAGCATGCTAGTACGATTAAGAGAATGTTGAACAGAATATTTGGAAACATTAGCCGCATAAGTAAGGTCAAAGAAAAGGTCAATGGCTTGTACCTCAGTTCCAAATTTAAGAAAAATGTGCTTCATCCACACCTTTTCTGGACAACAAGTTTCAGCCACAAAATTCTGATCGGTGTAAGAACATCCGTCAGACGTACTCCATTGATCAGCAACATTCTCATCCCTATCAGCATCACAATCTCTAATAATACCAGAACTCGTATCACATGAGTCAAAAGTCATATAATCAATCAAATAGCAATTATCATGCGATCTAGACCCTGTAAGAACACAATTATTATTCCTATCTGAAACCAAACATTCATTCAAGGTGAAACTCACAGAAAAGTCTTGATCACATAATTGACTCACACTCAGCAAATTCGCTTTCAAATTTTCAACAAGAAGAACATTTTGAAGTTTGGGCAATCCAGGAACATTCAAACATCCTATACCGAGAACTCTATTCATAACACCATTACCAAAGGTCACAAAACTAGAAGGAACAGGCAAAATATTAATCAAGTTAGATTTTAGACCTGTCATATGACGAGAACAACCACTGTCAAAATACCAATCAGAATTAGAGGTGGATTTCAATGCAAGTATAGAAGATAAGCAAACGTTCTTACTGCTTTTAGGAACCCAAATCTTTTTCTGTTCATGATTAACCACATCAACCTTTAGTTTAGGTGCTTTCAAGGGTACACCATATGGACTCCATTCATCAATTCGACCAGTATAAATATCATTATGCATCCTATAACACTTAGGGCGAATATGACCACGGATACCACAATAGTGACAAACAGGCACAAAGTTCTTACCAGAATTCTTACGCTGAGTTTTAGTAGAGTTAGGCTTACCATTCTTACCATCAATGCTGTAACCTTCTTTGACAAAGGTCAGGTCTGACTTACTCAGAGATGTGCTAGGTTCGCCTACTTTACCTTTCAGTTTTTGATCATGAGCGTTCTTACTCTGGTCTGAAGTACCTATTTGTTGACTCATCCTTTGAACTTCAGCAAATGAGGACTTGGGCTTATTGATCATCTTGACAATCTCCTCACTCTTGCTGAGTTTCTCCTCCATTGTAGAACAATAACTCTTGAGCGTTACATGTTCTTCCATCACTCGACCGAGTTCTCTTTTGAGTGCAACAATCTCGGATTCTCTTTCATCTATAGTTTTCTGCAAGACAAACATTTCATTACGTAGAGACTCAATGATAAAAACCTTTTCATCACATACCTGCTTGGACAACTTCTGTTCATGTTCTAACATCGTGATTTTGGCAACAAATTCGTCCAGCTTATGTTCCTCCTTGCTGGTATGAACATCAGATCTGGTCAGCTTATCATTCAGTTCGCCATTCATCATGCGAGTTTTCTGAAGTTCATCCTTCAAGTAGGTGATCTCTTTCTCATGCTCTGCAGAACGATGTTGGAACACTTCGACTTGAGCTTGTAGCTTTTTCACAATTTTTCCAGCTTTGATGCTCGTCTCTAATGCAAGCTTATGGGTAGCCAAATCTACTTCAACAGAACCATCTCCAGAATCATCAGAATCACTATGAGAATTATACGTGTAAGAACACATACCTGAATCGGCATCACAAGGCTTATGAGAGGCTGTATAACACGTGAAGTTATTGAGAGAAGTGACGGCAAATTTGTTCGTGTGTTGCTGGTCATCATCGTCTTCATCATCATCCCACGTGGCTCGATAGGTTTTGTTCTTCCTCGTGAAATTCGGACAGTCTTTCTGGAAGTGTCCAAATCCCTTGCATTCACGGCATTGGTTCTTCTCTACATCTTGATTCTGAGTCTTCTGAGAATGTGAGTTGGAACGTCGTTCACCAGACTGCTGCTTGATGTTCTTACTGAAGTCAGTAGGTTTCTTCCCTTGGAACTCCTTTTTCTTCTTTAACTGAGAGAAGTGGCGTGTAAGAACATCCAAAGCCTTAGCAATACTTTCAGCATCAAGAGACTCATCATCAGAATCCTCTTCGTCTTCAGCCTGTGTTGGAACATTGGCTTTCAGGGCTAAGCCTTTGCTTATTCCCATCTTATCATAACCACGATTGATTTCAAAAGTTCGAAGTTCTCCAAGTAAGTCATCGAGACCAAGAGGCTCGACTCGCTGAAAGCTCTCAAGTGCGGTGATCTTTTCACGGAATCGTTTGGCAAGGGTCCTCATGATCTTTTGCACTTGCCTCGCCTCAGAAATTTCCTCACCAAGCATGGCACTTTGGTTAACGAGATCACAAAAACGTGCATAGTACCTATCAATATTTTCATCATCCTTCATGCGAATAGTGTCGAACTCCGTGGAAATCATTTGGAGCTTGGAAGACTTCACGGCGTTGGTACCCTCAAATTGCCTCTCAAGAATCTTCCATGCGTCGCGAGCTGTTGTGCACTGGATGATCATCTTATGGCGAGTTGGATCCACAGCAGACATGATAGCATATAATGCACGAAAGTTTGCTTCTTCTGCTTGTCTTTCAACATCAGTCCAAAGATCCCTTGGTTTCTCGACTAGAACATGAGCAGCCGAGGTTGATGACTTTGATTCCGAGGGAGCTTTCGGCATGAGTGGTGTGGTCCAGCCTGACTCAATGACTTGCCAGGTTCCTTTACCCAAAGAGCGAATAAATATCACCATCATGGATTTCCAGTATCCATAGTTAGAACCGTCGAGGTACGGAGGGCGCGAAACGGACATGCCGTCGTGAATCATGGTGACCAATCACAGTCCCAAAGATCTTTATCCCGTATGTAGAACAGGAACACTGCTCTGGTGCCAATTGAAACGTAGGTATTTTGTAACGAGTGCGCTCAACTTGTAGTACGAACTAAAACAAAAATTATAAAATGCGGAAGCAATAAATCGAAGATTTAAAAACTCTTCAGGGAAGCGTCCCACTTCCCCTCAGAGCTCTTTCATTGATAAACCGTTTGTGCACACTTGTATAGTTTGGACTTACACGACTCGAACTCCCTTCTAGTCTAGCCACTACAACACACGATTCTATCAACTACTTCTCCAACCACGTCCCGTGGATTTTACCTCTCGAATCCCTCGAGCTAAAGACAGTACTTAATCCCTAAGCACTGATAACACAAGTGTTTGAATGAAAAACAAAGAAAAGAAAACAAAACAGACTTCAGTTCTTCGATGACGTAAGAACACCGAAAACTGACCAACGAAAATAAAAAACAAAAAGCTTGCAGCTCGAATATGGAATAGAATATATTGCTCTCAGCTCTCAGCTCTCCAAATTCGAGCTTTAAGTGGGTATATATACAGCTTCCTTAGGGTTGGAGTCTTCTCCAAGTATAGGACTCCTTTTGTTTTTGATTTCCTTCCAAGTTTATCCAAAGAGATATGGTAGGTGTAGATCTCTATCTTCTCTTTCCTTCTTATATGATTTCCTACAAAATATATTCATAATAAGATCATGTAAATCTAATATATATATATATAAATCGAATATATAAATATAAATATAAATATATTCGAATATATAAATATAAATTAAATAAAAGAACTTCCCTTTTTATTTCTCATGCTTGCAAGAATATATCTTCACTTATATTAATTTTTGAACTACATTGCCAAAAATATAACTCTTTCACTTAGTATGCTAACAGCATAAATAATGTCCGGCCTGGTGACGCTGAGATAAATTAATTTTCCAACCACCCTTCTATATTCATTTATATCAGGCAAACAAATCCCGTGAGCTGCGAGCCAACTTGTGACTTTCAATAGGTGTAACGCTCAATAGGTATAACAGTAGGCTTACATACCAAAAGACCTATTTCCTCTAGAATTCCAAAGTATATTTCCTTTGACATAGATGCATACCATCTTGATTTCTGCATATCTCTATCCCCAAAAAGTATTTTACTTCGTTCCTTATATTGTGAGTGAAGATAAGCTTTAGTGGACTCCATGGCTTTGTCACTTTATCACTGCCAATTAAAATGTCATCAACATCTATATATATGGCAGTGAACCCTTCTTTATCTGACTTTGTGAAGTGAGAATAATCATATTTGGATTGTTTGTAACCAAAAGCTACAAGAGATGCAGTGAATTTTAAATTCCATTGCCTTGATGCCTTTGAGGATATATATAGTGATTTGTGAAGTTTGCAAACCATGTCATGGGGTTGGGACACCCCTGAAGGGTGGCAAGTGCATATATATCTTCAACTAAGTCCCCATTTAGGAAAGCATTATGGACATCCAATTGCCCTAAGTGCCACTTGAATGTGGTAGCCAAAGCCAGAAAAACTCCCACAACGGTAAGTTTGGAAATGTTTCTTGATAATCAAAACCATGTTTTTGACTAAACCCTTTGGCCACTAATCTAGCTTTATGTTTGTCAACAATCCAATCACACTTCAATTTAATATTTGCAGCCTATATGCTTGATACCAGGAAGAAGAGGAACAATGGACCATGTTTCAATTGACTCATAGTAGAAATCTCAGCATTATTCTGCCAATGACGGCAGGGCACAACTTGCTCATAGGTGGTGGGTTCATGAATGGAGGATAATGCAATAGAATATGCTCTTTCAGGAGGGGATAGGTGTTGATGGGAGATGTAATTAGATAAGGGATGGAATGTTCTAGGAGGATGGGTAGTGGTAAAATTGCAGTGATAATCTGCCAGATAAGATGGAGGTCATTATAATCCACCTATGTTGACTAGAAGGAGAATCTTCAAAGCTGAGAGGAGATTGAGATGAAAAATGAAAAATATGGGGTCGAAGTGAAGTTTATGTGTGTGGTTGGATTCTGGAAAGTGTTGTTCTCAATAAATGTGATGGGGTGGGGCTGGATAGGAGATGTCTTCTGTATTTGATGATATGATGAAGGGTTGATCAGGTGGCCCCATTGATAAGGCAGTTGATTCTCAACGAAGCAAACATTTCCAGAAATATAGGTGGCATGAGATTGGATATCATAGAACTTATAACCTTTAGTTCCTGGTGGATATCCTAGGAAAACGCATGCAGTTTCCCAGGGATAAAATTTAATTCTATTATGTTTGTTAGTAGAGATATAACATAGGCATCAACATTTCATAAGGAATTTTGTTTTGAAGGAGAGGAGTAGGGATTCCGTTGATTAAGTGAACTGAGGTAAGGACAGCTTCTCCCCAAAATTTACTAGGAAGAAAAAAATTCAAAAAAAATGTTTGTTGGGGCCACATATTTTCTGGTGTCAAATCCCACCTTTTTTGAAAAAAATAAAAACTAAAAAACCAGCCATTTGGAATTCAAGACCATTATCATATCTTACAATTTTAACCTTTGAATAATATTTAGTCTACTTCATAATGATAAAGGCCTGCAACAGGTTTCTAGTTTCAGGTTTTGACTTTATGAGATGAACCTTAAAATCATCCACTATGAAGAAGTACTGATGAACCTGAATGGATGGTTGAGTATATGGCCCCAAAATATCACAATGAATAAGCTCAAAAGGTGAAGCAGTGTGTAAAGAGTCTTTTGTTTAGCTTCATGACAAACATTACAATCAAATTCCCACAGTTCCTTTCGGATAGGATTGAGAAATGATTTCATTATTTGACTATAAACATGAGCTAATCTATAATGCCATAAAGGAAAATTTTCTTTTCCAACTTGACTGCAACTTGAGAAAAAGACGGATCCATAATTGTGCACAACTTTGAGTGTGTGTCTGTGTGTGTGGAATCAGTGATCGGAAAGCTCACAGGCTCATCTGAGAGGGAAGCCGATTCGTAATCGAAGGCTGAGAGGAGGAGAGAATTCGGAATTCCGCTGTGGCCTTCTCCGCCACCTCCGGCGAGAACGACGTGGCGACTGATTGAAGCGGGACTTTCCCGTTCAGATGACTGATCTTCTTTGACGGCGGCGGAGGCGGTTGGAACCCACGCGGCGCCGTAGAGAGGGACGCCGTACTTCTTGCAGCCAAATCCTTGGTCGTTTTTGTCTCCGTTGCCCATCTTCTCCTTTCTTCGGTCCCCGGTGGGTTTTTGCTTCTGATCTGGCTGAATTGAAAATAATCGTTTGTCCCTTAAGGAGGAAATGGCCACAAAAAAATGAAATCGTGGTCGGCAGGATTCGAACCTGCGCGGGCAGAGCCCACATGATTTCTAGTCATGCCCGATAACCACTCCGGCACGACCACAACTTTTGAGATTCGGACGCATCAATTTAATTTCATTCAAAACATAGTTCCTTTTTTCCTCCTAGGACAATTTTTTCCTTATCGCTAGATGCTCATCAGTCTTCATCTCATTAGGATAAACAAAAAGCTCTCAATTTGTACGGTTAATGAATTCGCCTCCATCGTCCACAAAAGGATATTTTCTCTATTTAATTGTTAATTGTTGTATATTTCGCGCCAAAGACTAAAAAAAAATATTTTTTCGAACTTTTAAAATACATGTCTACATCAATTTTAATTTGATAACTTCTTTTGATTTCGACAATTAATATTAACTATTTAGTTGTTTAAATTTCATAATTCATGTGGGCAAATATATGTCTGTTTAAACTTGAGCACAAAACTCTTTTAGAACATTATTCATCAAGTCATTAACATTGTTAAAATCTGAAGTAATATTCATTAATATAAAAAAAAAAAAGGTTTTCCTCCATTTGAAATGAGGAAAATCGAGTTGCGTATTTGGGTTGCCCATGACCCGAAATTACATCTACCTAGAACTCCTCTCAAACCCTAAACCCTTTAACAAGAAAGCCTAGAACTTTTTTTAGCTTCTTACATATTGATTATATTCCCCATTTCACAAGGCGCCACTGCATTGCATACACTCTCCGCTTCAATTTCTTGTCATTTCACATTTTCAGCTATGGCCAAACGTTTGATTCCAACTCTGAACAGAGTTCTTGTGGAGAAGATCGTTCCCCCATCCAAAACCGCCACTGGTATTCTCCTCCCTGAAAAATCAGCCAAGGTATTATTTTTCTCTCTTTTCTTGGTATTTAATTTATTATATTTTTTTTCTTTTGTTTTGATTTAATGTTTGATTGAGTTTGATGTGAGATTTAATGTGGACTCTGTAAGCAGTTGAATTCTGGTAAAGTGATAGCAGTCGGACCGGGTTCGCGGGACATTGCCGGAAATAAAGTTCCAGTTGCCGTCAAAGAAGGGGACACGGTTCTCTTGCCGGATTACGGCGGGACCCAAATCAAATTGGGCGAGAAAGAGTGAGTTTTTCAAACCAAGATTGCATTTTTATTCTTTTTTCTGTTTTTTTTTCCCCTTGTGTGTGAGTTTGTATAATGGTTGTTTAGACTGAAATTTTGGTGGGTCGTGGTGCAGGTATCTTTTGTACAGAGATGAAGACATCTTGGGCACTCTTCATGACTGATTCGTGGTTTTGTGTATGAGTATCTGTTTTCTTTGATTTGAATTTTAGTGCCAGTTATCTTTCCTTTTGTTAGTCAGAATGTTTCATTATGGTTCTTCAATTTCATGAGAATCGACATTTCTTCGCATTTATGATGCCTTTCTTTTACCTTTTGGTCATTTTTATGCTATTCTGATCTTGTTTTCTATGTAATTGTCATCTGGATATAAGCATTTGTGTGCTCTTGTGTCTTGTGTTGATGATTAAAATATCTCAAAATGAGTAGGTGCCCAGTTGCCTAACAATAATGTTAACAATAATAATGGTGGAGCTTTACATTTGATCTCAGGCAAAGGGCATTTAGTATTAACTGTTTTCAACTTGGGTGCAAGAATTGGGTGATGAGGATTGGAGGGAATTACATGCCTCAGTTTAAAGTATTTCGATTTGCAACCAATTTAAATTTTGATAAAACGCAACATGAACCACGGGGATACGTAAATTACCAACTTCAGCCCACCAAATATTCTAAAAACCAGTCGAAAGCTGCTCACTTCCCACCAGAAAGTTCAAGAAACACTACGTGAAATCCATCTGGCTCTGTGAACGACGCTTAAGTAGTTAGGATTAAATGATAAGAAAATTGAATCCATGCTAACTATTGCATGCAACTTGTATGGTTTGGATTTGAAATTTTAGCTCGTATTTTTGCTGTTGTGATGGATTTCATTTTCTGTTCCTTAAAAGAACAAGGTTACTAGAATTTTTTTCATATGAATCCCTGGTGTTGGACATAACTTTAGGTCCTTGCACTTGTAACTCAAATGAAGTAATTGATCATGCATAAAATGATTCAAATTACATATTGTTCTTTGGGTCTTTGGTTAAACATTTGAGCCAAGCACAACACTAATACTGTATTCAGTTTTCTGGTTCGGTGAAGTTTTTTCATATCTAATGTCTCTATACTTAGATATTTGTCTGGGGCTAAATGCAAGAATAAAGAACCACGTGTCCCATCCCATGTTATCTGATCATTGACTTGTCATTGCATTTACCAATTGCATTGAAGGAACAACTTTTAGTTATTAAGGTCAAAATGTAAGGTGCTGTGGTTAGCTCTTTTAATTTGTAGTATTACATTGTCATAATTTTTACAATGTCATTTTTTAAAGAGATCCAAGATGCAAAAAGATGCTCTCTAATGCAATGTAGACTGGATACAGCAGTACAAAAAATAAATCTGACCTACCCTTATGTATAGACACAAGTAAAGACTTGATCTCTTTGCTTAGCTTAGGAATGGTGTTTGGCTATTTTTACTTATATTTATCCATGTTATCAAAACTTGGGTCCATTTATACAACGTAAAAGTAGTGCTGTAAACTAACCGAACCGAACCGAGCTTGGGCTGTTCGAGCTCGTGTTCGTTTACGTTTGAGCAGTGTTCGTGTTCGTTCGTTTATTTTTCGAGCAAAAAATCGTGTTCGAGTTCGTTCGTTTAATTGTTCGTCAAAGTTCGAGTTCATTCGTGTTCGAATAATTTAATACATAAACTTTTCAAATATGTTTGGTTAACTCGAAATTTGTTCGTTCGAACTCGAAAATAAAAGAATAAAATAAAAATTTTTTTATACTGTAGATTTTTCATTAAAAATATTATTGAAATATATAAAAATAAATAAAGTTATATTAAATTTTAGATTTATTATTAAAATATATGTAATTATATAAAAAAAATAAAATTATTTTACATTAATGCTCGCAAACATAATTGAACGTTCACGAACGAACTCGTGTTCGTTCGATTATTAAACGATCCTAATTTTCTGTTCGAACTTGACTCGATTAACAAGCGAATGAGCTTTTGTCGAATAGAACAAACTCGAACGAACTTTTGTTCGCGAACGATCGGTTCGTTTACAGCTCTACGTAAAAGTAAAATTGAACTCAAAACATTGTTGATGCATATAAGATACAATTGTTTGTGTGTTTGTTATCCATGACTACTGGGTCATATAAAGTTTTATCCAACGTTTGTTTTTGTGATAACTTCAAGAATCGATATGTTTATCGTATGACATTTTTCTTTTGCCGACAAAAAAATAATAATAATAATATATAATAATAAAAAAAAAAAAACTCGATTCTCATTATTCTAATCACTCTCCATCTATTTTCCTCATCATATATGCAATAACTCTGCAACCCAAACACGGTGGACCCTGTGCCACGCTCTGCCGCCGAAGGACATTTCAATTTCATGGTGCATTCGCACAATGACAATGATGTTGAATAATCAAGAATAGTCTTAACGAAAACAAGTCAACTGTTAAAATTATCATGCCGGCTGATGTTATAGAAACCAAACGGATGATAGGGCAAGGATACGATTATTTATCCTGTCTAATTCTACAAAGAGCCATTTGTTTATAAGAGTATGTATTAACCAAGGTAAATAAGCATGATGAGACTATATATCCAATATCATCTAAAACAAAGAATGTTGGATGTTGGTAACACAGAATGTGTAACGTGGATGTGGACAAATATGAGATCTTTCGTCATGGATTTTCCTCATATGTATGCCAGATACTTAATCCAGTTGCTTCACAGCTATAGATAGCTGGCATTTTGTGCGGATGTATCATGCCTTTTGTGTGGATGTCATGCCTATAGGGACCAATATCTGGTATGATTATTTGTGGTAGTACAAATATAATCTCTAAAATTTTACAAATATAATCTCTAATATTTAGACATGTCCACGGGTCGAACCGGCCCGGACCCGGACCGAACCCGGCCCGGAACCGGCCCGGAAAAGCCGGTTTTCGGCCCGGAAAAGCCGGTTTTCGGCCCGGAACCGGACATATCAAGGGCCGGTTCCGGTTCGCTTCAGCAAAAAAAAAAACCGACGGGCCGGGTCCGGGCCGGTCCAGGCCGACCGTTGGACCCGGCCGGCCGGGCCGGGTTCCCGGGTTCGGTCCTCAAAATTCAAAAAAAAAAAAATTTTAACGGGCCGACCGTTGGAAGAAGGCCGAACGAAGGATGCAAACTGCTATGCTCACTTCGAATGAGGAGGAAGACGACAACGACGATGCATCCGATTTTACGTCGTCGACAAGTGGAACCGGGGGGGACGTCGAAGACGAATACGAATATTAAAGGTATGCAGCCAAGGTATGTGATTTAGAAGAACTACGTGGACTTTGATTCCCAAATAAAGGGATACGTAGGCACCTTATTTAACATTATTAAGTTCGAGTATAATTTTTTGGCAACAAAATTTTTCATCGTACACGATATTCGAACTTAATAACTGTTAACTAAGCTCAAGTCCATTACATTAATAATTTTTTTCTTTACACTTATTCGACTTCATTTGACGTACAATTTAGCATTTCTAAACTACCTCAAGTTGTACTTCTCCGCCATACTCAATAAAATACAACACCGTTAACCGTTTGGTTCCAAGAATTGACGCCCGATCATTATTTTTGTTTCATTTTGAAATGATATAGACAAACAGACTCAAAAACTTATATTTTCGAAGTATATACAAACTATTTATTCAAATAAACATTAATATACATTAAAATAACAAAAAAAGTAAAAAAAAA